GGGACCAAGAGAAGGCTTGCATTTAGAGAGATCTTTCATAGAACTTGCACTTAGAGGAGTTGCACTTAGAGGGAGTTAACTATACATGTTTATATACCAAAGATCAGATATAATACTATATATCAAAAAATTTTAAAATTGAACGGAATTAATTGCTATAAATTTATGAATTATTACTTATTCATAATAGAATATATTTACCGAAGTCCAAGTGGATCATTACAAAACTATTACAAATGTCAAAATTTGCTTTTACCTCAACTCCGTACGTCCATATTTAGTCCGTACGCTGCTGCACCTTTAACAATAGCTGCTATTGGTTGTCGAGGGGATGCAATATAAGGGACATGTCTTTGGAATCTTTCTCTAACACTTTTTATCAAATATTTGATTCACTAAAACCTCCTACTACCAAGAGCATAGCTTTACATTTGCGTTTATTAGGAAGTTTTGACAATTGTTCTAGTTGATTATTAGTTAGCCTGATAATTTTGTCTATCGTTGGATCAACCATTTCAAAATCCCTCCAGTGATATATTTAATCGATGATGAGCATGCATATTCGCAATAATTTGTTAGGAACTCCAGCGAAAGGAAACTTTACTTTCTTATAAAAAAGGTATGAACTAGTTTGTAATTCTCCATAAGAATATATTCGTAGCTTTTGTAAAGCATTAAACCCTACTGTGCAACCAATAGAGCTTATGAATTCTTGGTCGACAAATGTGCTACCGCACAAGTTACTGGTTCTTTCTGTTTCCTCTTTAGTTTATTACCCATTTGTATCATTCTCATTGTGAGATCAACTGTTCCACCTCCGAAATCAACTACAAGGAATGTATCTATAAAAATTAATGCAAAAATTTTAGTTAAACCAAAAAAAAATAATGCATATTATTGATAAACCACGCTTCAGCTTAATCAAGTTATTGCATTAGCTACAGTAGCTATTTAAAGATATAATATTATCAAGTCTGTTACATTTTGTAAGAACATTCAAAACAAATATTTCGTTTTTTCAAAACGTAAATATTAGGGGGTTTCAAAGTTAACAAATAAGTGACGCATTTCGAAAATAAATAGGATTTTTTCAATAGTATTTTTACTATGTTGAATTATAAATCGGAAAAATAAAATGAGATTCTCTGATTTTAACTTTGAAACCCCCTATTATCAACAAGATATTAATCTGTACGGTCTAATTATATCTAAATGCTATTTTTACTACTAACCTCCCATTTTTAATATGTGTTCCCGAATATTCAACAAGCAATGAAGTGCCGCAGCTTCAGTTGTTATTATGAATAACGAAGATTCGGATAAATTCATCATACTTGTATAAGACGTTTCGCTATAAGAAATATTGGCTTCGTGATTTATATTTTCTTTGTTTTCCTCCTATAGTAATGAAAAAAAGCTAAAGATGAGTAAGATCCTTTCGTAAAAAAGATACATAACTGATTCATCTTTAAGAATCAACAGACCTTAAGGATTATACATTTTTCTATATTTTTTTTTTCTGCCTTCTGGCTTGTTCTAAACATGTAATACAGTCAGGGAATATACCGAATATGGACATTGAAGATCACACCTTTTTTGGGGGACGTCTAAAGCGGTGCAGAATCACGTGAGAATTTTTATTGGCCAGATGAAACGATAATTATGATTGGCCAAATATTGTTGATTTGTCAGCCAGATAGCGATAGCAAAATCTTGGATTTTGTTATTGTTATCATTATTCTTACACAAGCCCTAATGCTGGAGCAAGTGGCATTGTTTTATTTGGCTTTTTTTTAGCCTTGTTTTGCTTTAATATCTTCTCCGACTTTGATTCTGGCCTTGATTCTGACCTCTTTGTGTGTTTTTTTTTTTTTTTTGACCTCTTCTACAGGGGTTTTTTTTTATTTTTTTTTTCAAATCTTTGAAAACGCTTTAGAACTGTGGTATTTTTTTATACCATCAAAAAGACAGCTTTTTTTTTTTCTAACACTAATTTTAAGAATGAATGAGATACTGATTCATTGTGGTTATTCTTTTTTTTTTTCTTTAAAAAATTTGGACAAATAGATTTATTTTGTATTGCTTCTTCAGAAGCTATGTCAGTAATGAACCTTGCTCCAAATGAAAAACAGGACCTTCTGTTTAATGTAAATTTTCCTTTAGAAATTCTAGTTGATGACTTCAATAACGTTTGGTGGCCCTTGGTATCTAATGTTTGAATGCAATAAAATAGGCATAAAAGTGTAAATGGTAATGTTTCAAAGGTTTTCGCTTGCTGCTTCACAAAGCATTGGGATTCAAGTACCCACCAGAAAGAAAATGTCTTGCTAAAAAAATGCCAAATGGCGAAAACATGGCCATCAGGATTATGCGAGGCAAAAATAAAAGTTTTCTGGTTATATTCACTAAGTAAAGTGAAAGTTAAACGGCATAAAAATTCTCCAAACCATGATCATTCTTTGAAGGAAGCTGATAAAATCAAGCGTTCTCAAGCAATTCGAACTCTTATAAAAGATGAAGCAGTTAAAAATTATTCGCCTCCGGTGATCACTATTGCCATTAAAGAATATGCAACAATTGAGTTGGGTCTCAGGTCAAGTGTGTATGAATTGAAACGAAAAGAAGTAACTACAAAGTTCGTGGGTCAATGCAGGCTCATCTTATTGGTGATTCTAATTTAAAAGTGGATCTTTCAAATTCTATATTGTTTTTAATAGAGCAAAGATATCAGGTTGAACATTTTCGTATTCCCTAACAAAACACTAAGAGTATCATCTTTGCACATTCCGCACAATTAAAAAAACTTCAGAGCCATGGGTGGTTGACGCTTATTAATTCCATTCACAAAACCAATTGATATGATTGGCGCCTCTTTACCCTATATATTGTGATAACTATGGTTGCTGGGATTCTGGTACGCACTTTTATGTTAGTACCGAAGATAGTGATACCATTAGGTTGGCGCTAGAAATAATCTGTAGTAAGTTCTGTTGCTAGTCCCTCTGATATATACTTTCTGATCAAAGTAGTATTGAGGCAAAAGCTGTTAAAAAAGCATTTGCCAGAGTAAATGCTAGTGAACAGGAATGTGAAATAATCCTTTGTGTTGTTTATGTAATGAGGACTTGGTTAGCAAAAATTTACGAAAAAAAACCTCAAGATATTATGATTGCAGCAATGCATAAAAGAATAAGAATTGGCTGCGAAGTACTCATTCAAAATGCAATTGACTGTTGTACTGTCCCCACTATCCAAAATTATATTGAAAGAAACTATAAAAAGAATACTCAGCAGTAGCGCTTGTAGATGCACCAACATTCTCCCCTGCTCCTGCAAGTTATCTCTACAAACCCGCTTGAATCTTATCATAGTGAACTAAAAAGAGCTATATCTTCATTTTATGGATTAATAGGTATGTTTAGTTTGCTTGTTTATTATCTATATGTTCGTATTATGCACTTTAGAAGTAGTTAATTCTCGACTATTAATTCGGGAAGAATTGTTATTACTAGAAGCACTTAAGCCTTTCTGTCCAAATATTATATACTTCAATATTGAGTACGTTTAGTTTTTATTTTAATTTAGGTGCAGTCCATAATGTCATCGCTCTTGATAATAAAAAACGATCTGACTTCAAAAGTGTTGTATTTGACTTTCACATCAAGAAAATATCTGCATACGGTGTGGTGTGCGATATCATTGAGGAAATTCATAAGTTTCCTTACCCTTTTCAACAACTATTAGTGAAGAAAGCCAGTGCTGTTATGAGCAGGCTTGAAAAAGGGAAATGAGCACCAGGCCTGACTTCGCTTGATTGCCACTGTCTATTTCGCAGTTATTACCTTCTATTTTGCAGGCATATTTTTCATGAATACGCACATGGTGCCATAAAATTACTCACCACCGACGTATGAAGAACATTTCAGGGGATATTTGAAGAGAGCAGATTCGACATTTATGAACGTCGTGAGTTAGTAATTGAAGAGATTGCCAAAACTGAACAACAAAAAAAAAGAAGAGCATTTGAAACTTACCATAAATGAAATAAATAAAAGAGTCTGAGACAAATATTGGCATACTGTAGAAAGTGGAGGCATCGAGAGAGCGAAGGCTTTCATTTTGATGTTAGAAGCCTCTATAGATTCATTATTTTCACAATTTGATCGTTTAAATATAAGTAATTGAAAGAATTGTCAGCTGAGTGAGTGGGTGGGCAAAGTGCCAGAACAGTAAATATAATAGTAGCCTGATTGGGTGGGTGGGCAGGAGAAGTGCCCTCTGGGCCAGAACAGTAAGTAAAATAGTAGCCTAATTGGGTGGGTGGGCAGGCAAAGCACTCTTTGGGCCAGAATAGTGGATAAAAAAGATTTGTTGGTGAATTAGTTCTGTAAGGTCAAGGTAATGGTGGAAGAATTTGATAGAGCAATTAGCAAAATGAGCAAAGCAGTTTATGAATCAAATTTGTAAATAAAAAAAAAAATAGTAATAAAAATGCTTACCTGCAATTCTTGCATTATTAAGGCATAAAATTCTGGTTAAAATTGAATGAAAATATCTCATCAGCCACTAATAGAATCAGGTGATTTTTTTTTATTTTAATTCTATGAATTTTTAGAATTAAAATAAAAAAATTTCATCAGATTCTACTAAGTGGTTGCTGAGATATCTTCGTTCAAAATTTAAATAGTTTTAGCGCAGCTTCGATTTAGCTAGATGGTTAAAGCTTTGAACGAAGATATTTTAGAAATTACTAATAAAATTTAATGTAAATTTTTTAAATTTGATCCTGAGAATTCGTAGAAATAAAATAAAAAAATTTCATCAAATTCTACTAAGTGGTTGCTGAAATATCTTCATTCAAAATTTAAAATAGTTCGGCGCAGCTTCAATTTAGTTAGTCAAAACTTTAAACGAAGATATCTTAGCAACTACCTAATAAAATTTAATAGAATTTTTTTATTTTGATTCTGAGAATTCTTACAATTAAAATAAAAAAATTTAATCAAATTCTACTAAGTGGTTGCTGAAATATCTTCACTCAAAATTTAAATAGTTTCGGTACAGCTTCAATTTAGCTAGATGGTTAAAACTTTAAATGAAGATATCTCAGAAATAACCTAATAAAATTCAATGTAATTTTTAAATTTTGATCCTGAGAATTTGTAGAAATAAAATAAAAAAAATTTATCGAATTCTACTAAGTGGTTGCTAAGATATCTTTGTTCGAAATTTAAAATAGTTTGGCACAGCTTCAATTTAGTTAGATGGTTAAAACTTTAAACGAAGATATTTCAGTAACCACCTAATAAAAGTCTAAGTAATTTTTTTTTTTTTTGATTCTGAGAATACGCAGAGATAAAATAAAAAAAAATCATCGAATTCTACTAAGTGATTGCTAATATAACTTCACTTAAAGTTTTAACCATCTAACTAAATTGAAGCTGTGCCGAAACTATTTAAATGCTAAATGAAAATACCTCAGCAATCACCTAATAAAATTCAAATAGAATTTTTTAATTTGATTCTGAAAATTGTAGAAATAAAATAAAAAAATATTTCATTGAATTCTACTAGGTGGTTACTGAGATATTTTCGTTCAAAATTTAAATAGTCTCGGCGCAGCTTCAATTTAGTTAGCCAGTTAGAACTTTGAACAAAGATATCTTAGCAACCACCTAATAAAATCTGATGTAATTTTTTTTTATTTTGATTCTGAGAATTCATAAGATTAAAATAAAAAAAAATTCATCAAATTCTATTAGGTGGCTGCTGAGATATCTTCATTCAACATTAAATAGTTTCAGTTTAGCTTCAATTTAATTAGATGGTTAAAACTTTGAACAAAGATATATTAGCAACCACCTAATAAAATTTAATGAAATTTTTTTTATTTTGATTTTACAATTCGTAGAATTAAAATAAAAAAAATTTATCTAATTCTACTAAGTGGTTGCTGTTATTAAAATAATAGATTCAGATGAACATTTTTCTGGCCAATCATCACTTTTCGATTTTGGCCAATTATCACAATCATTACGTGATTCTGCGCTGCTTTAAATGACCCCCTTTTTTGGTATAAAGATGTCGATCAGAAAATTCTAGATTTCACGGCACATGAGTATTAACCAATCAAATTAATTAAAAACTTTATATACTTTACAGATATATGAACGAATAACTTTAGCAAAGCTATAAGCAAAGCTTCTCTTTTTATTAATATTATAAATAATAATTTTATTCTGCTTAGTTGTTGCTACCTTTAACTATTCTATATTACAACATTTAATTTTTATTATCAAACAATATTATCCATATATAGTATTATTTAGCAATACTACCTATATACCAATTTTTAATCTAAAACTACTTTAAATATCTTAAGAGTTCTCTTCTGCAAGCCATATTGATACCTATATAAGAGTTAAATTAAAAATATAAAAGTTGTAGTATTTAAATCTTTGTTTAAATATAAATACAAAAAAAAAAACAGTTATTTTAAGTTAACTAATGATGATTCTTAACCTCTTATACAAAGTAAATACCTTTTTTTAGACTCTCATTTACTTTGGCAAAAAAGGTTTGTCGCCATTGATTATTTTTGATTATTAAAACTAGACATCTTGAAGTATGTGTTCGAAGCTTACTAGATCTTAATAACTATCAAAAAAAAAATTTTCAAGTTGTACAATGTTTGAGGAGTAAAAGGCACATAAGAGCCAATCAAATTCAGAAATCCATTTGTAGATTATTCTAGAACATGATTTCTTAATTTGGTAAATCTCTAACTATAATAAAAAATTTAATTAATGAAAAATATTCATTAAGTAGTAAGTGGGAATGGAATCATAATAGGTTCAAAATCCTTAGATTAGAGTAGGTCAAAAATTCTGAATCAACTTAAATTCTGTACCTACTTACGACAATAACATCATATTATTATATCAGACATTAGTTTCTTTAACTGATTCCCTCATTCGGAAATGGTATTTGAAGAAACTACTCTGGAATGGTGACCTCCATAGCAAAGCATGTTGCAAGTCACCCTTTACTATTGTTCTATGCGATGCATCCTTTCATTACTTCAAAACAAGTAGCTTGGAGCGATTTCAATTCAAAGAAAAAAAGCCTGATTAAATACTAAAAAATATACTTACACCACCATGCACTAGATTATATATAGAACATTCTGTAATGTTTGTATGTTTTGATTTGTGGCAAGGATCAGACTGAAATGATTTGACTTGGTATAGCACGTTTTTTAGCACCTTTTTGCAAAGATTTAAGCTTCCTTTTTCTTTTGTCCATAGTGTAATTAAAATTAAAACCGCATTTTAAAAATGAATTAAAAGTTATTTATTGATTTGTTTAAGTTAATGTATATAAATATAAATATTACAGTACCTAGATTATGATCTGTATATGTTAGCTCAGAGATAATGATTTTTTGTTTTGGGACCAAATTCTGAAAATTCTGAGATGTTATGTGCTATTTTTTTAATTGGTCAGAGGACATTTAGTGTTTATACTTGGTGATACAAAAATTACGTTTTTGTTGCATTAAGCCACCAGGATTTGCTTTTTTGATGCAGCATATAAATATTATGAAAAATCATATCAGAAATATAATTTGGAAATTTTTTGTCTGTCCGTATACATGTTCAAATGTGTAATGCTTATGCATTTGTGTTATATGATAATCGTCATGTGTTCCAGACTTACAATGCTACATATTAGTCTAGTGTATTTTGTAAAATTATGTTGTTCTTGTGCAGGGCCAGATCAAAATTTTGTAATAACAAAATTTAAATTATGTAATATAATATAAACCACGTTTGCCAAATTATGTGCATTGAACCTATTTTTGGTTACTTTAATTTATTTATCTTCATATTGCAATATCAAGATAAAAAAAATACTGTACTTTATATATAAGCTATATTTTTACTTACTATCAAATTTATATTTACTATTATTAAATATATTTAGAAGTCTATTGGTAAAATTATTTTCTTTAAATGTTTTATTGTTTTCTAATACTGGTTCTTGTTTTGCAAATCCTTATCTAATAAATTTCATTCTAATTAACAAAGAGTTTGTATATTTTAGTATATATAAACAAGTTTTTAGCTTTTTTAGTAAGCATTTAATTATATAGTTTTGAATACTAAATACTGCTTATTTAATAGATATCACCAATTTAAATAAATTTAATTGATGATTTACTAGTCATCTGAAGAATGATCATAGTAAAAATGTGACTCAAATTACTATATAAATTTACTATAGTGTGAATATGGCGATCGCCCAAGGTAAACTTTTTTCATACTAAGTTAATCACCTTTCTTGCTTAAGAGACACAAATTTTTATTATTATATTATCTACAAACTAATAGAATAGTTAAACGATTAAATAGAATGCTTTGTGAATCTCTTGCAAAAGCAAGGATTGGGATGTTTATCTACTTTTTGTACTATTTGCATACCGAACCAAAAAGTATACAACCACTAGATATACTCCATTTCAACTAATTTATAGATGGCAAGCTATCTTACCAATTGAGTTAGTCTTACCAACCTCAGAACCAGAACCAGAAATAAACTTAGAAAATAGTATACTAACCCAAGTCTATAAACTGATAAATCGGTAGAGATGTAGTGACTTAGTGTAGTGGTCTAGTTATTATCTTTTCCAAGCGGCAGGTCTAAAGTTCGAATTTCACTGGTGACGATTTTGAAAAATAGGCCTGTGTGCGGTTGACGGCTTTCTATCAGTTGGATCTAGATTAATCTGTAACCTTGGTCACACCATCTAGTAATGGAAGCTTTGGCGCAATAAATCCAAGAAACCAGAATAACTAAAAACCCATTTTGCAAGTCCCAAGTTTGAAGCTAAATTTGAACTAGTCTCGAGATTGGAGAACCGAGAAATCAGGTTCTAAATGGCAAAAGACATACCAGCTGAACTGCCGGGTTGTCGCATCAGAGAAAAAGAACATATGCTCTGAAAATATAAACCAAGAGAAAGTCATCCTTTAGGCACCTAAAGCCTAGGCAAACCAACCCTTTTGGGTTGTTAGCTAGAAGTAAGGAAGGGACCAATAAAGAATCTGGGTAAAAAGATGATACAAATGTGGGTACCAGGGTAGTTGTAAACCGAATAAGGGTAGTGAGTATGTAATAGACACCTAGTTAGAAAGGTTGGTGCTTGAAAAACATCTGTAGAATAGCAGTACCCCAAAAGGTGGCGTGAGATACACATACTGAATAGCAAATCAATATGTACTAATTAGGAAGAAATTATAAGAACATGCAGATGAATATATGTGTGGGATATGTACTACTCTGTTAGGTTTGTCTCGAGGACAAACTAGCCCAAATATTAGAGTTAGTAAGTCCTAAGAGTAGGATACCGAAATCCATGTAGATAGATACCAAAATTTACTTCTAAATAATGAGGAATATCCAGGGTTAGAGAGTGGATAGTAGCAGTTATAACCAGATGGTTTAAATAGATACCCCCATAGTTGGGGTGCAGATACAGCAGATAGTGTGGAACCCTTAGCATAGCACTAATACCTTGGGCAGACAACTTTAATTAGACACCAAAATTATATGTGTAGCTTGATATACTATCATTGTAATTGCAATATAAGATGTTGTCTAGACTCTAATAAAACTTTCTAGGCCAAAGAGATCACCTTAATACCAAAAAAAAAATAAACTGATAAATCAGTTAGAAGAAACCTGGACCAAGCCAGAAAGAATATAAGCATCATAAAAAAAACAAAAAAAAAGATGTGATGCTTGAATAATACTAATAAAATTTGAAGTTAGTAACAAAGTGTGAATCTAATATAAAGATATTGCTATCTCACAATCTGTTAAATTTGAAAAAAAAAGAAAAGGACTCTATACAATATGTGCCAAACTTGAAAATGGTGTATACAAATTACGAAATCATAAAGGTCAAATACTTAAGCAATATTACAATAATGATAGACTTGAAAAATATTATTAGAACAGTGTCATTTATCATCTGATTTTTTTTTATCAGAGGCTTACCCCCCTCCTAGTTTTTAATATATAAATTATCAGGTCTTATATATAAAATTTCAAATTTTTTGACCCCCCCCCCCCTAGAAAATCACCTGATAAGTGTCAGCTCTTTTAATAGCAAGAATAGAAACCACAAATTATTATTAAAACTTAATAGACAAAAGACTTGGAATTTTATTAGCTTAAAATATTTTATTAAATTTATTTTATTAAATTTATTTATTAAACTTAGAATAATTATATTAGATAGATAGTTTTATTAAATGTAAAAATTAAAAACTAAAAAATTTATTAAAAAAAAAGAAAGTAAAATAAAACATAGAACAAAGAAGAACCAGAACAACCACCAACTCAACCAAACAAAAACTTAAACTACTCTTCACAATAAAATGCAACACCTCAATCTCCAATTCTAAATTCTCTATCTTTATTTTCAAATCTGTTACCCATACTCTAAGCCTGTTTTTTCTTCTCGCAATCTTCTTATTTGCATTTCGTGTTAGTAATTTAGCCACACCAGCTTAGTCAGATCGTGCTCCTGGGCTTGAGCTTGCAGGTTTGCAGCCTGGTTTTGCAAACCTCAGATTATGGAAGAAACAGACTAGTTACGTACAATATATAGCATCTAGTTAATATGGAAAAAGGTTGAAAAAAGAATGCTTTTTTCAAAATAGATATGCTTAAAGATAAGAGTATAAAAAAAAAAAAAAAAAAAGAGAAAAAGACAAAGGGAAAAGTATTCACTGAGGCCACATGGTCAATCATATCTAGTACAAAGGGCTACAAGCTCACTTAGACATGAAAGGATGGCAGTTGCCCTGAAGGAGTAAAGCCAATTAAGTTTAGTACACAGCCTAAAAATTATACCTACTTTTTGATGGAAAACAAAAAGCAAAGACCAGAAAGACAAGAAAATTTAACAAGAAATTATTGCTAAAAGAAAAAGAAGAAAAGATTATTAAACAAGAAAATTTTTAATAGAAAGAACCATAAAAAGAAAAATAGAAAGGACTAATAAGAAAAAAAAGATTGGTGTGTAAAATTTTGAAAAACAAAATATATGGAAAACAAGAATATAAATAAAATTAAAAACAATAAAGATAATTTTCTTAGAACAAAGAAAATTATCACATGGCCGAAACAAAGGAAATTACAAACAATAATGATGTGATTTATATATTTAGATATAGATGAACAAATTAGAAATAGAAGCTAAATTTAGATATACTAAATGGAAGTTTGATGAACCTCACAAATTTTAAGGGAGGAAAAGACAAAGAAAATATCTGAACACATGCTAGACCGAGAATTTTTGCCAAGTATTGCCAAGCTATAGCTGAAACAATTGCAAAACATGTGGGAAATACAAAACAGAACAGAACACATATAAACAGATTGTAGCATATTAGAAATACAAAGAACAAGCAAGGTTAAATGAAATAGAATAGTTATTTCAATCTTATAGTACAAATACCCATTTCAACAGATATTTTTAAAAGACAAAAATTCACCTTCTTTTAGCTTTAATTCTAACAATTTCAATATTTATTTTTCTAATAATATTTCCCAAATTTATAACAAGGCATGTAAACTCTAACAACTGTGTAACAGTCTCAATTATATAGAGACTATTATTGTTAATTCTGGCAATACAAAAATCATTCAGAATCTGAATTACACATGTACTATCACTTTTACAGACCTATTAGCCAAATTCAAAGCTGATTTTCTACCCAATAAGAATGATTAAATATTTCTTGTAACAACCTCAAAGAAATCCGACTCTAGTGACTAGCTTGCAGAAATTTTAACAAAATACAATACTGTAATTGCCTATCACCCAAAACAAAAGCAAATCAAAAATCTTTGCCAAATTCATGCTCTTGCATATGCTTTTCATATGGGAGCCCTCCTGTAGTATTATGAAACAACTATTAAAATCACTATCAAGAAAAACCAGGCTAAGATTTATAAACAGATTTTTTATCTGTTTAAAGCTCATAGTTATAACCACACCTATTAAACAAAAGAATTTAAAGTTAGGGACTTTAATAACCTAAATAAAACTAGTTTCAATACACTTTTACTTTTAGTAAAAGTCAAGTTCAGAAGTTTTAAATTTTATAGAGTAAAATCTTAAAGAGAGGAAAATATTACAAAGCAGTTCGTAACACAATGTAACATTAGCATAGCATAGTATAGATTATGTATCTCTCAGTACCTTTATACAAGTACCTCTCAGTACTTTT